TTTCGATCGAAAGCAAACGCCGAAAGCAAACATGGTTTTGAGATTACGACTCGCTGATCATAACATAAATGATGCCCCCATCCCAGTGAGTATGTCGTCGTATACTCTCAGCCAAGCAGTGGCACATACCCGTGAGTGGGTAAGCGCCACTGATATGGGTGTATGTGCCATTGGTGATCAATACTTCATAAATGCCCAGAAACGACCTGAACACACATTGTTAATTTTTAAACGCGAAGCATCTCTTGACAAGCTTCGGCGACTTTGAGCGTATCTATCTATCTATCTATCTATCTATCTATCTATCTATCTATCTATCTATCTATCTATCTATCTATCTATCTATCCGCTTACGTTTGCGGGCTCTAAGGTTACCGCCTTATCTTGACGTGAACCAAATTTAAATATAGAGGGTTAGATCGTTCGACAAACATGACGTGGTCGTCGAGACATGAATACCGTCACAATCCGGTCACGTGCGTCGTGAAACACTTCTCGCCAGACAATGGCACATATCTACGGGTGGGTATGTGACTCGGGTATACTGGTATGTTGCACAGGGGATTGACACTTAGTATCTTCCCAGGAATGACAAGAACACACATGGACTATTTCAGCGAGCAAGCCTGACATCGGCAGCCTTAAGCTGACGAATGTTGAAAATAAATGTCAAGGCCTAAGCTGAAATGAAACCCAAGCGTTCTGTTTGACAATGAAGCATTTTACCACAGAGCTATTCCAGGTCTCAGAATGACTTTTCAAATAGACGCCAATCTTCCTGAAACGTCAATAGTGGTTGCAGTGCTCCCCCAATTTTCTAAATATTACTTATGTACTCCTTTGCTATGCCGTCACTTCAGGTTACCGTCAATTGTAATCAGTGTTCTTGCGCTGAAGTTGACTTAGTCCAGGGCCAGCATTCTCACAAGCGTCAGCGTTTCTTACCAGCTTCTGATGTTGCTAAATGGCATGCGCCAGTTGGCATTGTTGCGCAAGAGCAAACAACTAATTATAAGAGCACCTGCAACTCCTCAGCATGCAAAATTTGTATATATATATACTGTCATTTTATGATGCGTCACTCAATAAAAAAATTGCAACAGGATTCCTTCTTTTCGGATGCTTCGCATAACGACTTTACGTAGGTACGTGGAACCTGCCAAACTTTTACGCTTGAGCGTCAAAAAAAAGCTGCAATTGGCTGCGTTGACCAGACGAGTGTGAAAAAAAAATTTCAAGAACCCAGCAGCTTTCCAACCACAGCATTCTCCATTGCAAACAAGTATTTGACCTCAGAGTCACGCCAGGTTTCGCTACTGCTTTTAATATAGACTTTAATGTTCATGCAGCGCCACTCCTGGATCCAGTGATGCCTATCTAGTTTTGTACAATACATATTTACTCCTGCACGGCATCAGTTCCGTCGGGTTAGGATCAACTCTATTAGGCGCGATGCAGTGAAGGTGAGTTGTAGTTTATATCGAACGAGGAACGGCGCAGAGACAGGTAATTTTATTTCAAGGGCATTAGGAAAAATCATTGAATTTCCACGAAGTGAATTACGACTAGTTGGCGAAGATCAGAGTTCCTAAGCTTTATTATGGGAATACGCTGAAGTCGCCTCCTAATAAACAGGACGCATAGATGGGAGTATGCACAGACGAAGGGGCAGGTGGAATATGAATGGTTGAATGGGCGGAAAAATGGGTTAATGAACAGGTGGATTATTAATGGGACAAACAGACTACGCACATGGTCATGTATTGTGCGGTCATATAGGTCAACACACGTAAAGTTGGTTCTTTACACATATCTTTTCACTTTTTATTGCGCAGGTGTTCATATATGCTTTGGGTTTTGTGGGGCCTAATGGACGCCAAGAAGGTCGGCCCTAAAGATTGTGCCCTAAAAGATGGAATTGGCACCGCTGATCCCGCAAACATATAATTGAATATCACTGTTCAAACAGGAATGACACCTCTGCATTCTGCCTTGAATTGAAGTATTCTACAATAGAGCCAAGACATGTCTCTGAACTGCTGTTCAAGTAGACCGTGTATCGTTCGTGAAACGTCATTGGGCATTGCAGTGATGGCTGTCCAATCTAATAAACTGTACATACGTACTCGTATCTTACATTCGTCAAGTTGGGTCAACAAAATTTAGGGGAAGCGCCATCCACTCAAATTCGTTTGTCTAGCAATGTCCAGGACCACCATCTTCGCTACATATCAGTGCTACTTTTATTTTTACAACTGTTGATAATACACATATCGCTGTTAGAATCGTTACGTCACAGTAAATATGTGTCTATTTAACTAATGCTTGTGAGTACAACATGAGTATACACCTTTATCTTGATTTAGTAACGTCCCAGTAACGTCAAAAAAAGTCACAACTTTGCCGCAAAGGCGAAGCAACGAACGCAATAGCAACAAATTGGAAGGTCACGCGCAGTATGACAAGCAGATCAAAACGTTCTCCGCGTTTCTCACGCACAATTGACGCACGTAGGTAAACATAAACGCGAATAAGCGCCTCACTTATTACTTCGGTGTGCCTGAAAAGCGCGCCCTTTTCGCAAACGGAGGTTGTGTGACGGTCACAGCAATTTTTGTGTGCCTCCTAACTACTTCAGAAATGTTCCAGTGCAAGCCCAACACCAATCAAGACGTATGATCCTGCCCACCGGGAGATAAGGGCACGCGAGAGATGGTCCTCTACCCTCCTCTCTGGGGGCCAATTTAGGCGTGTAAGATGACAGCCGCAGTGCGCTCATTTGCGCTCTCATGCTGATAATGGCGTAAACACGATAGCTCCCCATCCCCCGAGAGGCCTGGCAATAACCAAAAGTGGTTAATATGAATAGCTTGCCGTTTGAGTCTTGAAGTAGGTACACCTCGGTAGCTCAGTGATTAACGCCTTACGTTCGATTCCGCGCGCCGGTGTCTTTTAAAGACGATACTCTTCTTTAGGGACTTTCAACGGAAAAATTTTAATGTGTCTGTCAGTCTGTCTGTCTGTACATTTGTCTTCTTGTCTGCCCTAACAATACCTCAAACTGCGCCAAACGACCAACCCTATCTGCAGCGCCCACCAATAATACTCAAAGTTTAGCATTCATAGTCGTGCGATTTTCAATTAATAAAAACAACTAACTTTCCGGATTTCCCCTTTTTCATGCGTTTTCATATACATAGTTGCGTATACATATATGGTGCATGACATCAACGCCGATGACACGTCGATGCCGGTGGCGAAATTTAGCCGAGACTGTCTAAATATAAGCTATCGCAATAAAATTAAAACACACTCATCTTCCCTCCGCATACTTCGCATAAAATTGGTGCCCTAGGTACGTCTAATGTGCTGAATTTATTAGGCATGCCCTGAAATTAGGACATTGTAGAATACACACACTAACAGCCGCTTCTGTAAAAATGTGTGATTTTAAATGCAGCTTCTTGCAAAGAAATACGTATATGCAAGAAATAAGTATATCTCTGGAAACAAGTTATATGCGGTTTTCTTGATTTGTGTAAGCAGCATCATTGCCTCAGCCTGAAAACTCGTTGTCAATTGCAGGTGATGTGTTACGTATGTGATTGTTCAGAAACATTCATGTTTGGAGCGTTCTCCAACCACTAAACGACGTTGTGCGCTATAAGTATTGCACGAATTGCTATGCCCCTGGGGTTTATGAACTTCAATGAGGTAGCTTTCGGCTGGTTGTAGCAGCAGCTATAGATTGGAAAAAAATGCATCGAAGCCGCAGTTTTCCTTGAAAGTTGTCTGAGTTCTTCCTCCCTAGTAGCTTGCCGAAGCAATGACGCTTCCACGCACAGAATGGTTGTTTATCTTTTTTTTAATGGTATCGTAATTTTTTCACCGCCTTTGATGATGATTGAAACTTGAGACTTTGTGAAACTATATACGTCATTTTTGGTCTTATACATCAGGTGCATTGATATGAAAAATGCCGCGACTTCCAGCCTCAGATAGTTGATAAATTCCACTGACGTAAGCTAAACACGCTACTGGTGAACACGAACATTTTTCTTACTGCTTTTGCTGAATAGCTTCCAATGGCTTGCACCTGGTGTATCTAGGGCACTGTCGATCAGTATGGGAATACCCTCTCACTTCACAAGCTTACCGAACTAACGAAAATAATTCCGAAGCCGCGCGGGTACTCTCTATTGCGATAGAGCACCATTGGGTTACAAATGTCAGAGCCACATCTCATCATGCCTATGGTCATCATCACATTTGCACTGGGCGATATACATTTTCTGCAAAATATGATATCGGACCACATCATGCATACCTTTTTAGAAAATTTTGTAGGACATTAAAAAACGACATGGTGTGTTTCTTTTTTTTTTTGCAGTCTGCTCAACTTTTGATTTCAGATTTTTGAACGACTTGTATATGGGTGGTAGCATTATTGCGCCAAATAATTCGCTATCCTCTCCTCCTATTATCACAAATGAGCTTCCCAATCAAGATTGCTGGAAAGCTGTGCTTCGTTCAGTTTATTGTTGGCAATGCGAATAGAAATTCAAAATGGTACAGTGCAGGACAGCTGCATTCAACTCTAAACTGACATACACATTTCAAAAACTAATTTTTAAGAGGTAATGGGAGTATGATTGGTATTTTAGATGACTTTCATACCATATTGTCAATTAAACAAAGCAGAACCAACTATTGTAGAAGGTTCTTTGATCACAATATTGAATAATGTATTGATTCATAGTCACAGTAACCAATGAAGCAGTTGTACAACTTTGCAAATAATCACTTTCCTTGAATGTTTAATGGTGCACAACATGTGATTGACGGTGAAAACAGCGCCGGAGCTTTAAATAAGCACTGTATTTGCTTTCTAAATGTCCAGGTACATTTGAGCAAAATTAAGGGCAGTCAGCATCAACTGATTCGCCTATGAGAATTACCTTTGTACTTGTAGAAATCATCTAAAGCAGATAACTCTGCAGTTTCAGAATCGATTGGCAGCCTTCGAGCAATATGTTTGCTGAAGCGGGAAGAGTGATATTTGGCCCCAAAAATTGCTGGAGATTTGTAAGTATGAAAATTAGAGGTGAAGTATGCCATGTTAAGTATTAATTTTTCTCCCGCGCAATTAGCATTACGAGAAATGAATTATACGGCGTCAATTACAGTTGAATGCAACTAATTGGTACACTTCGCTGTCATCGTAATTCCGTACTATTTTCTGCTGACAGCAAAACAACACGTGCGCCTTTCGGCAATACACAAATTTTATTTGTTTCGCGGGATTCTGTAACAGAACTACCTTGACAGAAGTTGTCATGAAAGCAATCAAGTTCGGTGAAACGTTTTATGTCAAATAGTTTACCTGAGGTGTTATACTGAAACTTGAACAAACTACAGTACCAAGATGGCTTCTTAACGTTTCTTTCAATTAAAATACAACACAGTCACGCTTTCTCCACATGGTCTGCATAACATTCATGCCGAAAGTACGTTGGATCTGCCAAATTTTCAGTAACAGTATATTCCACCTTCAAAAATAGCAACTTTTGCGCTATGTTCAAACACATGAAATAAGGGTATAACAGTATACTGCTCTCGATAGCACTGCATTGCAAGACAGCTCTATGAAAAAGCACATCTTGAAATGCAAGTTTGTCAGTCTTGCAAAATAACTGAAAACCAGGGTGATCAAGCATTACTTCAATACGTTTTGGCAATACATTACTGTACTATACTGCAGTAATATCATTCGGAATGATATTACTGTTACTCTTTTTGAATTGTATTGTGACATCGATCACTGAACCTGTGCGTAGGAGAATCCAACGGACACCGGGAGTTGCTCGGAGTGCATAGCTCCATCCCCAAGTTTAGACATACGATATGTAGGTCCGCTGTCATGGTTCTCGTCCGTCATGACGTATAGAGTTGTCACTGCCAAAGTTCCTTCCTGAGACAGCGCTTTTGCTGCCACCATACTCATACTGCATACGTTTCTGCATATGCTAAAATCCAATTATTACAAACAATTGGTATGCCCCTGAATGCTGCCTGCTGTGGTGCAACTGTGGAGAAACAAGCCACAGCTACCACCGCTGCACATGGCAGCAAATACAATGGCGTGGTTTCTGTATTAACAGCAAGCGTCAAAAGGGCCGTGAATGACCACCCAAGGAAGTAGACTGTCTTTCAGAAGCACAGTTGCCAGGCTTAGTAGCGAAGTGCATTCTCGTGGCTGAAAAGCACATTTCCCAAGAGTAGTCGCCAGGGCACCATAACACTTAGTAACGCCCTAAGAATAGCAACAATGCCCGGGGCAGTGCCGAGGGCGCCTAAGTAAAGGCAGCAACCAATTGTAATCTAGTTGTACTCATTTCGAAAGCCGATATTCATTATTCTGGAATCGGCAGATAATCAAGCACAGCGTTCACGAGAGCACTTGTTCATCGAAGCACTACCTGATGAGGCGACGTAACACCACCAGAGAAAATCGACTAAGTATTAGTCAGACGCCTTGACATAGACATGTTCTTGGCGCATCACGATGAACCCCGAACCTCTATGCAATAAAGATATATATGGCACCACTATGCTCACCATCTGAGCTTACTGGTCTGTGATTAGTACATCACCTGCTGCCAAGGTAACGCAAATTATGACTGTTTGGACGTGATATTTATGGGGCTGATGCTCTCGCTCAACTTCCCGACGAAATGGGACTTATTGCATGAACCTCGACATCAGCTACAGGGAATGAAGGTCTACTAAAGATACCTATAGAGAATAATTTTCATAAAGCATCAAATCGTCTATTGGAGCCCACTTTTTTTGACACATGAGACAATTTAACACGTTACGAATACAGTTTGACTGGCTTGAATTGACGCATTCACATTGTGATTCGGTATATTTGTGTTTGGAAGAAACGTATGTGAATACCTACAGCACACTCGAGGTGTTCTAAGCAACCAGCTACTCCAGACTTTCCTGAATAACCGAAAAGTTCCGGCTCGCGTAAGTGGAGCGCTTATTTTTGCGTCACGGCATAAGATATGCCGGAGTTTTATCAAACTTACGTTAAACAGCTGTGATTGCTTCATTCTCACCGCCCACTGTCTTGCAGGCCGTACGTGGATTTGCCAGGTCTTAATAAAGACGACCCAACGACTTTGCGGCTCCAAGTCAAATGACTATGTAACCCTTCTTTTTGCTATGTCTTTTAAATTTTTGCCGTAAGAGAATATTGCATTTTTTTTCTTGGTGTTCAGCAGGAACACGCTGTTTTGAATTGAGAAAATGGCCTCTACAATTCTGCTACTCACTAGAGTACAGAAAAGATTTATTGATCGCTTATACAGCACCATAAAACTCCTTCAAAATATTTCGTGACTTCAATATTCAAAGAACGTATCCCCACTTTACTCGGCCTGCCTTTACGTAACCGTCAACTTCCGTCAGTTTTCTTGTTTTTGGGTTTTTTTTTTCAAAACGAGTGGGACACAATTCGCATTATGGCCAATGCACGTGGACCTAACAATATCGGGAAAACCCAAGCTACCTCAAACTTTACTAAACCACCCTTCCCTCTGGCCAAGAACCATCACGCCGTGATGGCTCAGGTAATTACGACATGACCTTGATGTCATCAAAGCTGAGCTGTCGTCTTTTGATGTGAAGTGTTTTGTAAGTGGAAGGCCTGGCCCGGAACGTACATGCACTCTATGGTTGTTGAATTTAATTCTAACGGAGTGTCTGTTTGGCCTACGTATTGCATGTTATATATCCCGCATTCCCGAAGGTATATGACGTTTTCTGAGTCAGAGTCTAATGCACCACCTATTCTCCGCTGAAAATGCGAGTGTGTGCTTGCCGCCACTGTTGTTGTCTGCTTGTGTTTGCATACTTTGCATCTGTTCGTTTTTTTTTCGCAAAGGAGACAGCTGTTTCAGGTTTCATGCCTACCTGTGAATTTATAAATAGTACTTTTTACTGTTCAGCTGCTGTATACCACAAGAAGAGGAGAAGTGAAAATTTTGGATGCTCGTACGCTCTGTTCCAATATTTTAAATTGTTTTCTTGGAATTTTGCGCTGTTTGGTGGGTTTATCATGAATGTTAATAGCAAATTTTGATTGTCTTCATGAACAGCATCTTTCTGATGATTTACAAGAGTTCGGTGGTCAAGATTTTCCACTTTTTTGATGGCATGATCGAGGAAAACTGGCAAGTGATGATGAAGGAGTATTTCGCACGTATGTGTGCTGTTTTTGTGGAAGTACGCAGAGTAGGCGGCCAAATTATAAATTGTCATTTATTAAATTCAAAGATAGGCATGAAATATAAAACACGATGTCGCTTTCTCGGGAAAAGCAGATGCAAAGTATGCAAACTCGTGCAGACAACGGCAATGGCTGAAAGCACCCACACGGATTTTAAGCACAGGATAAGTGGTGCACTAGACCGTGACTCAGACAACGACATATACCTTCGAAAATGCGGGATTTGTTACACGCCATACGTGGGCCAAACAAACAGTGTGTTTATATTTAGATTCAACAACCATCGGGCGCATATAAGTTCCCTGCCAGGCCTTCCACATTAAAAACACATCACATCATGTGGGATATTTGTGTAGAGTGAAATACCATCCAATGTTACGAGGAATTCCTCGAAACATTGGATGTTACGAGGAATTACAACAACAATATTATTCCCTATCAAAGCTTTTAGTGCACACATCTGATAATAGAAAAATGGTTTGCCACTTCAACCACAGCCTTGAACGCTCCGATAAGAGGTCCCGGATGTCATACAATGCCACTCTTTTTCTTTTGTTTCTTTTTTTGTGTTTTTTTTCTTGTTCTATTTTTTGTTTCTTCTTCTTATCCTTCACTGACAGGAGCCAATGCATATAACGAATATTGATAGCGGTGCCACAATTACCAGCTATTTCATATCTTCCAACACCACCAGCATGCCCTTGAAGCGCTAAAGCTCTCCCCACCGATTTTTCCTAAACTTCAAAAGAGGGCAGGCGGCCAGCGGATTGCACTGGAGGTTGAAATACAGAAAGGGAAGTCAAAATGTCCACTTGGGGGAAGAAGGGGTGCATGGGAAGTATTGTTGACAAAGATGGCATAGCTCGTTTACGTTCGGCTTACTTTGTTCAGTTCCTGCTCCTTCGTAATCCCGCCTTGTTCCTCTTGCTTCTTTTGAACGTTTCTTTCTCCTTTTTCTTCTTTCTTTGTTGTTGTTAATATTTTTTCTTCTGTTGCATTTCCTACTATCTAGAGAAGGTACAAGAAGACACGGAAATGTGTAAATAGTATTATGTCTTGAAAAAGACGGGGTTCCCGTCGAAAAGTCGGCTAAATAAACGAGTTGTTATGTGAAAGCGCAGCTTTTTTGTATTTATAAACTTGCGAGAACCCAATTTAATAAATATATTATATATATATATATATATATATACATATATATATATATATATATATATACTTTCCTTGGCATTATTGTCTGTTAGATCTCATAAGCACTGTGTTAAAACACGGAAACACGAGCCCTTAAGTGTACAGTTCTTTCCTTTATTCATGAACGAGGGTCTCGTAGTGGCAGAATTGGTGTCGTTAGGTTGTATACAAGGGACTATCGGTCAGCTGCCAGCTCGTACTAAGTTCAAGGGCTTTATGACGCCGAACAGGCTCATAAAGAGGGCGCCACACTCGCCGCAATGCTGCACGTGGCTCTGACTGACAATTCGACGTTTATAATCACATATAAACCAAATACCTTGGGCTAGGGGGATAGCCACCATGGTAGCTCAGTGGAAGATAATGGCACGCTGTAATTGAAAGTCGCAGGTTCGGTCTCCTAACGGCAAGATATGTTTTCACCCACTCTCTTTCTTCACATTCTACATTACAATTGGGTTTAATACCTTCCTCTATACTTTCCTTGGCATTATTGTCTGTTAGATCTCGTTATTACTGTGTCAAAACACGCAAAAACGATCCGTAAGTATACACTCTTTTCTCTTATAAATAAAACACTGGGCAATGAGCTCGT